TCCTTTTCCTTTTCCTTTTCCTTTCCCTTTCCCTTTCCCTTTCCCTTTCCCTTTCCCTTTCTTGTATTTTATGAGGCCTATAGAGTGTCTTTATTGAATTACTGTCTGCACAGTAAGGGCATTTTTTTTTTTACCTAGAGATGCATATGGATTTTGACAGCCACATGAGGGCACCAGAAACTCACATTCTGTCAAATAATTAAATACATTCCAGTGTCAGGAAGGAACTTGGCAGAAAGGTTTTGAATTATTGTTATGAAAAAAAGCTTTTCATCTAATCTTTGTTCTGCTCCTTTGACAATCTGTAAATTTTTAATTGAGTAGTTTTCATTTTATTCAGAAAGTCAGCTGGAGCTTTAGCTAAGCTTAAGCAACTATGGAAGAATAGTTTGATAGATAATTTACCATAGCACACATCTCAGGTAATTTCCCCTTTAACTTCCATGTTTTGTTACACTGTCTTTTTGATTTCATTCAAAAGGAAACAGTCATATGCATTCAATTACCCATATTTTTCATAAGTTCCATTTCTTTTGTTGGACACAGTGATTGATTATAGTTAGCCTTTTGCACAGACTCGGTCCCATAAATGAATCAGAAACAAATTGAGCAGTTTTTATTAATGCTTTTTCCATTGTGCTAGTCTATAAAATCTATTATAAGGAGGAATAATACTAAAGTTACTTTCTATACTGGCATCAGATCTAAAGAAATAAATGAAGGAACAATGAATAAAATACAAGCGTATGCATCAAACCAGGGATGAACAACATATAGCTAGTGGAATGCACAACAACCAGCTTGATGATTTTGGTCAGCCCCTTTGACCACAGTTGCTGCTGTTTAAATTCTGTGGCACAATTTTATTAGATGTTAACGCTTCTGTAAAGTGTTCAAATGCTTTTACATTTTTGCAAAAATTCTCATTTTGTTAACCACATGTCCTTTTTGGTGCTATCAGAAAAAAGCACACATAAATATTCACAAACACTTCTGTATGCTTTTTTCTTTTTGGTACGCACTTTTTTTCCAAATCTGGACATTTTCCTATAATATTTTGGTCCATACCATTGGCTGCAAATTATATTGCAAAATTCTGGAAGGTGTGTATTTCAACATGGCCTCTGTTTTGTAATCTCCCTCATGTCACAAAGTACAAAAAATCATTTTATTTGTATAAAAACCTTCATGCAATGAATTTCTCATCCATCCCTATTCTTGGCTGTATGGTGCAGTTACATTGGAGAGAAGAGTGAAAAACAACATTGATGACTGAAATTAATAGGGCATGCCTGATGATCAGAGGCTGGCTGGCAGGCAGGCAGGCAGGC